CATAACATAGAGAGTATGAGAAATAAAAGAGAAATTACAGACCACACATTCTTGAACACTTCTGTTGAAAACTGGATTTCTCGCAATGGTCTCATTTTCAGAGTGTGAAAAACCTGAAATGTCGATGCCTGACATTCTGAAAAACCTCTCGGCCCTTGCTTGCGCCTTCAATGGTGAAGGGTTTCCATCCAAAACAAAAACTGGATAGGCCCCAACCTTTTTTTGGAGAGAGAGAGAGGATGTCAGCAATGCTCAGATGAATGGTAATTTTTTACTTGTACATATTTTATCAGGAGATGAACAATGAAATTCTCAGTTAAAGAATCCACAAAAACAAGATACCAAAAACAAACCCAGAATTCTCATAAAAAATTCCAAACTTCCAGTAAAGAACATAAATGACACCCAATTTCACAAACCTTTTCAGAAGGTTGAACACTCTAAATCTGACCCCCAAAAGAAAAAGAAAAATCACTGGAGAAAAACTCAAAAGGCTCCAGTATAGTGGCAGTTAATGACGCCCAAAATCACAGTAAAAACCCAAAAAAATTCCATTAAAGAACCCATAAATGGTACCCAATTTCTCAACAAAAGAAGCATAAGAAGGGCCAAATAAAACTCCAATCCCAATAGCAAAAGTTAAACAGAAAAGCCCATGAAAGAACCCAAGAAGAAGAAAGGCACAGGTAGAGAGAGAAAGTACCTTGGAGAAGAGATTAATGGTTCTGAAAAACGTGACCCTCAAATGGGGATTCCTGGCATTCCCCTTCAAAGCAGTTTGGTGCTGAACAATCCAATAAGAGAGGTCCACTGCAACTTTCTTGTCTCTGAGAAAATCCAAGTTCTCGTATCTCGCAATGGGCTTCACAAATTCCCAGAAACCACCTCCAAGTCCCATTGGGTCCTTTGAGAAAGAGCAAGACCAGGCAACAATGGCCTTTTCAGCTCTCTCTCTCTCTCTCTCTCTCTCCCTCTCCCTCTTTCTCTCTCCAGATAGGCGTTGCCTGGTGCAAAAAACCGTTATGTTGGGTTGTTCGTGGCTGCAAAAACCTTTGATTTGAGTTCCTAACGCCTCTTTTTCAATGCTTAGTCTCTCTCTGGCCGAGGTCTAGGACACAGCCATCTCTCTTATGTACTTCTCTCTCCAGGGAAAATTAGGAAGGTATTCGTTTTATGTGCCGTTATTTTCAGAAAGGGAAAAGTTTATATAAGGTTGCAACCAATGGTTTAAAAAGCAGATCGGTGACCCGGATTGGGCGCCCAAAAAATTGATTCGGATCGGTGAATCGGCGATCTAGATTGGAAATTAAGTGAATCGGTCATAATAAAGCTTAAAAAAAATCCGAAAAAATTATTAAAATTCATTATAAATATTGTTTTTTAGGAATTCAATAAGAAATGAGAGTACTTCATTAAGAATTTTCATGTTTTTGCATGAATATGCGAATATTGATATGTTCTTTCCCTGCATGAACTACTATTCAGCATTTAATTTACATCACACAAAAGGATAAACATAGAATTATCATGGAATAAATATATCAACATACATGAACTACAATAAAGCATAAAATTAGTAACATACGATCTAAAAATAAAATGATAGACGACGTTGTTGTTCTTCTTGGTCACGCTGGTGCCATTGATTGAATTCGTTTGACAATTCATTGATTCGATCTAAAAACGAATCATCGATATTAGCAAGCGTCTGATTATTCCCAAACCCTTGAGTGTTAGTGTTTTGTTGTGTTCCCAACCCAAAATCCCCGAAGCTTGTCTATCCTTTATGCTTACCTGCACTGTCGTGCTCATCCCTACACTATTACTGTTGGGATTCGATATGTGAATAATATGGCTGGGATAGGGTGGCCTCAGAATCATCATCTATCTCATTTTCTCTTAGACCCCCTTCCACTCTCCCTCATTAGGTGCAATATCACCGACATCTCCGACGAATTGTGGATACGTTGGTTGGCTGCTTCCTCTTTCATGCTGCTCATAACTTTCTTCAAGATCTTCATCACCGATAGCCTCAAGGAACGCTCTCTTGTGCAACACTGGCTCCTCCTCTTCTACTACCCATTGGTCTGCTGTGTCTGTGACAAATATTGTGTCTAAGTCTATCGGTCCATAGTCTTTAAGCTTCCTTCTTATTTGTCGCTCTCAGAGGTTTAAATTATAATGAACGTAGATTAGTTTTTGAAGCTTCTCAGAAGCAAGTCGATTCCTCCTAGTAGTGTGCAACCATTGGAACGTACTCCAGTTGCGCTCACAGCCAGTAGCAGAACATGTCTGGGAGAGCACCTTGATTGCTGTCCTCTTTAGGTGAGGTGCATCAGTACCATATATTTCCCACCATTCAGCTGGATTAAAATGCAAAAAGTATTGTAAGGGTAAGAACAATTCATAAGATTAAATATATGAATGAACAAAATATTAGCGAGGGGATAACCTGGATCCATCATAGTTTGAGAATTCCTGGCAAGTCTAGTTTCGAAGGATCCTATAGCATCCCTATACATAGCAATCTAAAACAAATATATTACGTTTTAGTACATTATTCCTCACAAATATAACAACTCAATGAAGTTCTTACCCAAACATTAAATATTACCTATTGTATTGCTGCTACTTGGTTTCGATGGCTTCTCTCCAACCTTGCAATAATGTATCTGACCCCTTCCATAATCTTGTGGGGATGTTTAGGTGTCAAATAGAAAATTTTTGAGTTGAAGTAGTAACTTACAAAATATATAGGTAGAAAATGCCATTTACAATTTCATAAAATGAAATATTGTAATGATATAAATATATATTT